TTGAACAGTTTTCAGAATGTTATTTCTATCTTCTGTCTCTTGTTTAAAAAGCGAGATGAGAAAATTTTTTGTACACACGGGAAAATAAAGACTAGTTTATTTTCTTTTTATGTTTGTAATGTTTACTAAAATGCGAGTGGATGTTTATATTTTAGCTGGCCATATTTAAACGGTGACCATTAGACAATATCACATTACTAAAAAGCAGTCAACAAAAATTGACATTTGATTTACTGCTATATATAACTTAGAAGACATTGTTTATTTTAAAATGTTAAATGCATAATAAATGTAATCTGTTTTATATAATAATATTTATTCTGTACAACACACAAGAATCACTTGGATTACAGAATAAGAGGTAAGTTTATGAGGATATGTAGGGAAGATAACAGATAAACCTAGACTTGAAAACGTTAAGATTATAGCGATCGTGGAAAGCACCCTCTTGGGAGTTGGTTCCGCAAAGAAGTTGTTCGTGGGAAGGAATAGGTTCGTGAAATAGGAAGGGAGTTCGTTACAATTTACGTGGCATGGTGGGTCTTAGACGTGAAGGTTGGGAACTGGTAGAACTAAGGAATGTAGTATTCCTGAACATTTTTTATGGAATGTAAAGATTTTAATACCTTAGATTTGTTAAAATGATTCATTATCAAATTTAATGATTAGACTATCAAATTTAACGCTTAATGTAACAGATTAATGTAGATTTTTACAAGCTATTTGTAAAAATCTACATTAAGCTGTTACATTAAGGGTTTAATTTGATAGTCTAGTCATTAAATTCAACAATGAGTCATAATTAACAATTTTAAGATATTAAAATCTTTAAATTTAACGGACAAAACTACCTAGATTGTATACAATATAGCAGACGCATCAGCCATGATTTTAACTCTAAGGAGTTCGTATTTAAATTTTTATGAAAGCTGATTTTAAAAATTTATGAAATATGTATAAGCTGTCATTAAATATTTATATCTTAAATAACTTTCAAGGGTACTCCATAGCATACTGGGTCAACTGAGAACATTATTTTCCTGAAACATATACTGTTTTCATTTTATGGATTTGATTTTTCAAAAAGGACTTAAAAGTACTAAAACAATAAGAAAACAAAAATTTAGATGATTCACTCTTTTTCTATTCTTAAATATATAGTTAGGTATAACATAATTGATAATTTATGAAGTCTGACGGCTACAGATCTTTTCGAACACATGTCTTTGTACGCCTACGTATGCCTTGCTTTTATTTGTAATTTTCACGCTTTTTAAATTATGCAGACTGCTTACATATACACATCTGTATAAGCAAATGAAACATAAAAACGCATATAATACAAATTAATGCACACAAATATATAAGTTTCGGGAAGTAATTGTCATTTTTCCTATTCGCTTTGTTTATAAACATGGATAGAATTTACACCCTGACGTGATAATTATTTTTCTAGGTAATTCTTCCAATGTGTTTTCATCTCACACACACACACACGCTCACACACACATGCCTTTATATAATTCGTGTACTGAACTTAACCCTCACTGAGTGCTATATATTTGTGATTTTCCTGCCATTCGAAGCTAATCTGGCTAAATTACATTGCCAGTAGCTTAGAAGATGATCTATCTATCTATCTATCTATCTATCTATCTATCTATCTATCTATCTATCTATCTTAGTATTTTCATATCTATTTTTCTACTATTCTACTATCTATCTATCAGGTCACATTTGCTTCCCCATTTATCATCAGCCTGTATTCATATGTTTATAAATAAGCGTCGTTTTCTCAGTGTTTATTAGTTCACGGAATATACATGCGTGTGTCTGAGAAAACATATATATATATATATCTATATCTATATCTATCTATCTATCTATCTATCTATCTATCTATCTATATCTATATATATATATGTATGTATGTATTTGGAAAGTGTTTGAAGACCATACCACTGGTTGACCCACGCCTTGTGAGTGAAATTGGGTAGACGGAACTCTTGTAGGCCACCGATAGCTGTGCTATTAAGAAGCCACAAATCATCGTGGCCGAGGGCTTGAGTGTGCTGATCACGCTAGATAACACGCTTTCTCCCAGAAACTACTCAGCATAGTTGCAGTGTAAACCACAGGTGGGCTCTGTGGGTGTAGAGCAAACACAAATATGCCTGAGCGAACGTCTGCAATAGGTATTGGCCAGCCGCTCTGGTAGAAGGGTATCTTCGCCACCTATTATTATTATTATTGTTATTATTATATAATTGGATATGCGTGTATGTCTGTGTCTATATAAAATGTTAACAAATTGAAATCGAACTTTGTCTGAGGCTGATATGTTGATTTCCGAATAATTTCCTTACGAAAGGCATGAATCTGCATCTTCTTGTAAACTATCCAGTTGTCATATCTTTTCACATCTTTGCATGTTGCAATGGTTAAAGGATAAAGAAGCGGATGAATTATATATATTAATTAAACAAACCATTCTTCCATA